CCCACCTGAGCATTGCCCGGAGCATAGCCAGGGAACTGGGGGCAGCGGACTCTGGGGCTGGTGGGCTGCAGGAGTGATCAGTTTTCATAACCACCACCCACTCTCTGCCTAAAGTCTGCCTGTGATGGATTGCACTTACTCCTGTGACCGTCCCCCAGTGTCTGGGCGTGGTGTTGCTGCTCTCATCAGCTCCCAACGCGCCTGGCAGGCTGTCAGCCTACCTCTGTGGGTCTTCTGTGGCTTGGCCGGGTCACGCAGCTCAGATCCCTTCTAGGGTACAGCCAACTTGGATAGAAGCAGCCCCTTGCCCTTCAGGGCCAACCATAAATCAAATGGTTTCTTACCCTTCTGGGGCTTAATTCCCTCCCCAGAATTAAATCAGCAGGGTTCTTCCTGAGCTCCACCCGCCGATTTGTGGCCAGCAATGGGCCCTGGCCCAGTGTGGTTCCTTGGTCTGTAGCCTAGAGAGCATCTCTCCTCACACCACCATCTCCAGCCAGGAACTACCTTGCTAGCAGCAGGCAGCTCCTTTTCTTTTGGCCTTGTTTGGGTGTTGCTTGAGAAGAAGCTCTCCATGGTTCCCACAACGCCTGCTCCTGCGATGCTTCCCTAGGTAAGCCTAGAGATCTAGTGCTCACTGCTCTTTTCCTCTCAGAAAGCTGTTTCCAGGGGTGGTGGGTAGCAGAGCAGCGGGGAGTGGGGAGCACGGAGGCTTGCCACACCCCGTCACATTGGCCTCCCCTGCTTGCCCAGGTAAGAGAATGTCTCCAGAGTAAGGGTGCCGTTCTGTTGGTGTCTCATGGAAATGCCCTGTTGTCCCCTCCAGGAAGTGCAGATCTGGATGCCTTACAACTCCCCTCAGACACTGCATGAGCGAGAAGTGGTAGTTCGGACCTTCAACGGGCAGAACTGGAGCGACCTGCAAACCAAGGTGGAGCGGAGAGGAAAGACGAAGGTGAGCAGGTTGGATTAACTCCTGGTCATAGGCAGGAGATCTGACTTGCCCTGCAGCAGGGGGCAGGACTTGACTTTGTCCAGTCCCCAGGACTCGCTTGGAAGCTTCTCATGAACCTGAGATGTGTCCAGTTGGTATAAAGGGATTGCACCTGCAGCCCTCATCTCTAATACAGAGGCATGGCTACTAGAGCAGGGGTTCTCACAACAAATTTTTTGATGGCCTCAGAGTGCGGCCACCAACTCTCACTGGTGGTCACACTGACACTTATACTTAATTAATGTTAGGAAAAACAATTAAATATGCACAAATTCACATCCAAATCATTGTAATGTGTATTTGTAGGGTTTTTTGACAGACTCAATAACAAAAATAATGCTGCCTCCCCTTTCGGCCCTCCTGCCCCATCCAGGGTTTAGTGGATCCTTGGGCTTGCTGTGAAAAGTGATATTTGTATATTTGTTAATATCACAGCACACTTAGTAGCTGCCTGGAAGGCTATGAAAAGTGATCAGTGATATTAACAAACATACAAGTATCACTTTTCACAGCAAGCCCCAGGACCCATAAAGCCCCGGATGGAGAGGCCGAAGGGGGAGGCAGCGGGGGTCCAGGGCAATGGGGCAGGGATGGATGCAAGGTCAGGAAAGCAGAAGGGTCCGGGGTGTGGGGGAAATGGATACAGGGCCATGGGAGGTAGTGGGGGCCAGAGGAGATGGGGGTAGGTGATGAACCCCACTGTTGCATGGCCAGAGCCAGGGCCCGGTGCCTGCTGCCCTGCGGCCAGGGCCGGGGCTCAGTGCCCGTGGCCAGAACCCGGAGTTGGGGACAGGAACTGCATGGCTGGAGCCAAGGATCACAGCCTGCTGCCACGCAGCCGGAGCTGTGGGTCAGCGCCCAGGGCTAGTGTCTGCACCGCACGGCCAGAGCCCGGAACTGGGTGCCGGAGCCCAGGAGAGCGTGGCTGGAGCCAGGAGTCAGCACCCAATGCTGCGTGGCTGGAGCCAGCGCTCGCTGCTACGTGGCCAGAGCCAGGGGTTGGCACCCAAGGTCAGCTCCTGCCACCGTGTGGCTGGAGCCCGGGAACAGAGCTATGGGTCGGCGTTTGCTGCCTTGCAGTTGGAGCAGGGGATCAGCACCAGGAGCTGGAGCCACGTGGCTGGAGCTGTGGGTTGGGGCCTGATCCATGCAGCTGGGACAGGGGATCAGCACCAGGGGCCAGGGTCGCATCGCTGGAGCCCGGGACCAGCGCCCGCCACCGCACGGCTGAAACTGGGGGCTAGAGGCCAACTGAAGCTCCGCAGCTGGAGCCAGGGGTCAGCACCTGCTGCCTTGTGGAGAGAGCCAGGGATTGGCGCCCAAATCCCCATGCTTGGAGCCCTGTTGCCCTGCATCTGGGGCTGGGAGTTGGCACCTGTGGCCAGCGCCAGCCACTGCGTGGCTGGAGCTGGGAGCCAGCGCCTGCCGCCGCGCAGCTGGAACTGGGGGCTGGAGGCTGAAGCCCTGCACCTGGAGGCCAGGGCTACATGGCCAGAGCCAGGGTGGGGTCAGTACCCGGCGCCGCGGTCAGAGCCCAGGGCCTCATGGCCAGGTTCCTGAAGTTCCACCACTGGAGCCTGCTGCTCAAATCCCCTCCACCCAAGATGGGTCAAGAACTCACCTTGCTCCTGCAGCGTTGTGCCCAGGAGCAACAAGGAGGAAGGGGGAGGGACTGATGCTTTGCCCCCTCCCATCACCACCCAGGAGGCTGTCGTGGCCGCATGAAAAGCCCCTGGTGGCTGCATTTGAGAAACGTTGTCCTAGAGACTACAAGCTCCGGAATGCAATTTTCCATCTCAATTTAGCATTGGACTGAAAGATCTGCTGGGCTGCGACCTCCTCTTACTCCATGTTTTATGAAGTGCTGTGGGGTACTGTGCTAAATTCAATCTGTGCTCTCCCTACCACCTTACCAGCAATCAATACCAGGAGCACATGTGCTGCAGGTTCTCGTTTCCAAAATGTCTAGGCTGCTTCTGCAGTCTGTGCAGTGTGACTTATACCAGGAGTGGGGTATGAAAAGTCACCTCAAATGCCAGCTCTGATGGTGAAAATATCTTCTCAGGTGTTTAAGAAAATAGGCTTTATTGGTGGTGCTGCTTTGCATTTAAATGTGTGCAATACATCTGCATATATAGCAATGAAACATTGTGAGCCATTGATTTTTTTTCAGTGACTCCATTGACTTCAACTGGTGTCAATCAATGTGTCTGAAAGATACTGTAACGTGTGACTCAGCTGTGTTTTCTTTGTTCCCCACCTTTTTGTAACAGAAGCACATGGCTTGCTGTAGTATCCCCACTTCTCCTGATTCCTGGTCGTCTCTCGGCTTGTGGAGAATAAATGCAGTGTCCCATCAGAGGGAACGTTGCTCTTTTCCACAGTGGATCCAAGCATCAAAGTGACCTTCCCTCCTGGAGTCACAGAGGAGACTCGGAGCGTCACATTGCAGGTGTGTGTACATGTTAAAACTAAAACACAAGCTCTGGTATTACTGCTGGCCTGTGCTGGAGATGAGAGTAGGCAATAGGATACATGCACTAAATGAGAGCAAAGGATGGGCCAAGTATCAGCCTGGGAACTGGGTCTGACTTGGCTTTAGGCACATCACAGAGCCTCCCTGCCTCAGTTTCCCCCACTGTGAAATGGGCTGGGTCATTAGCTGTCTGGCAGGGGTTAGCACTCAC